CTGATGACACGACGATTTCAGATTTGAAAACTGAATACAGCACATCTGATATAAGCGAGAAGAGGATGTGGCGAGGTGGGAAGCGCCGTATACGGTGTGGCAAAGGAAAATACCAGAAGAGGTGGAATCCTTGTTTTATAAAGAGAGAGAAACGTGTTGCGAAGTATGGAAATATCCGCCGGGGATTTGAAGTTCAGTAGAGCATTAATTAAACTACCTCGCTAATTTCCGGAACTTATAAACCGACGGTTTATTAATTTCCCTCGCGCGTTTAAAGGAATAAGGGCGGTATCGAAGTTCCTTGCTCGGACAATTTTCTGTGTCGTGTAATTGTACGTTAATTTCATTCACGGAGGAGAGAAGATCGAGATGGAAATCTGCGAAATCTTTTACGAGAAGTTATTCAACTGACTTCGTACCTGATTGTAAATTTTATTTCTTGGGAAAGAGATTTTTTGCAATTTTTTTTTTTTAATTGTCTACAATTTTCAAGACGAACAGATAAAAAAGTTGTTGATATAGCGCTAATGTTCTCAGTCGCTCGCTGCTGGCGAGGCATCGTATTTCGGAGTATCCCGGCAATTTAGCGTAGATACGAAAATTTCGCATGTTTCGCAAGTTTGGACACGTTGCATCTTATCAAATCTCATTAAAGTCATAATGACGCGAATATATGCGAGGTTTTTCAAATAATCACCTTGTTAAACATTAATAAAGTATCAACGAGACTATTTAAATAAAAATTGTTTGGCTGGATACAATTTTTTATATATGTATAATTGCATTTAAAAATAAAGTTTAAATAATTAAAGATAAATATGAACTACCTTGAGACATATACCATGGTTGAGATATATTATGGTTTAACATTACCTGGCTGATATTTTACTGTTTAAGTATGAGCTTACTACTTATTAGTTCTCGCTGACCCATATTCTAACATAAATACGAGATATACATTAAGCGAATGTAAGTAAAGATATTATGAATAACTTCATGATTTGGATTCTGAGTAACTTTTCTACTGATCAATATTTTTCATTTTTGTTTTAGGCAAAAATAAATGCGCTCGTATTTCAATAACAAATAACAATTGTCATTGATATGATACAATTGTCATTGATTGTATACTTTTTACAATTAAAACTTCTTGTTTATAAATCTCGCACATGTCGCGCAAATCAATAGAAATATTATTCTTAAAAAATAAAATATAATTTAAGAATCGAGGAAAAATTAAATTTAAATATTTACCCAAGCTTTTATCGCTGATATTCTTATAATTATTCTTGGGTTCATTAATTTTCGCGTTATGTAAAATTGTTAATGCTTTTTAATCTCTAAGGAACATTTCTTGTTTTTTTTTTCAGAAACGTTTGCATTTCTAGCTTAATCTGATTGTCTGCTTGACTTTGCAATTAGCACTCACGCAGACGAGTTCAGGTGTGTAAAAACCGTAATAATCTTCTCGTGAGTTTTTACCTTCTTTTTTCTTGATTTGTGAATGCACAGGCGATACTTGATTAATTGATTATGATGTGAAAGAAAAATTGTATCGACCGATACTACCGCCCGCGGCATGAACATCTGATATTCGTAGGTATGCTATCAGGACCGTAATACATGTTCACGTATATAGGACAGCGCTTGATTGAATATCAAGATACACAGCTTCCGGCAATTAGCGATGCCCGGGTATGTTCATCGAAAATTTAGATTAAGGTAAATACCGAACTTGGCAATATCCCCGAAACTTAGGCGTCACAGTAATTTATTAACGGACTCGGGGCAAGACAGAGAGGGCGGGAGTAAATCCGCTGAATATGTGAATTGATGATTACTGTGCTTACAAACTATGACTGCATCTCCGGATCTCCACTACACTTCCTTCTATCATGTAAATACATCATGTTTATAGATCTTCGCACAGTTGCGCAATGTATTTGCGAAAATATATGTATGATCAAAGCGAGAAAAATTATATAAATTACTTTCTACTACTGTTTTAATATTGCTTTTCTTTTTAATTATAACAATACACGGTTTGATGAGAGTTACGCGACAAATCTAACTACAAAATAACATAATATTTTTCGCTGTCGAAAGGTTTTGCAGCTCGTAAATGTTATTCATACACGTGCTACTCGTAGATGTAGCTTAAAATGTACTCCCTCTTCGAAATACCATTGTCCAAAGCACCGTTATATCGTTTTTGCAAACAATAATGCATGATTTCAGCGAATTATTCTATGATTTCGATACACTTCGAGCGCCAATCTCCCGCGTGTTAAATTTCCAAACGCGATTCCATCGTGCAAATAAAAAAACAAAAATACCAGCCGGATTAATTAAAATGCATACGAATCCATGGGTACGCGGGGATTTACATAAACAAAATATGTAACGAGTTTATACGTGTGCTTCGCGTATACATTTCTCTACCAAATCCGACAAAAAACGGATGCATTAATTCCGATCCGCTGACACGAAGTTGCGTCGTCGTGGCGACGCAGCCAGCTGGACGGCGGGGATGCCGTGGTCAAACCGCCTGGCCCGACACGTAGCTCACGTCGCCGCGTCCTGTCACCTCCGATTCATCCCCCGTGCTCTTCTTTCGCGTCGATCTCGACACGGACACCGCCTCCCATCGCGCTCCTCGCGCTGTGCGCTCAAAGCGGGAGTGCACGAAACCGCATACGGGGGTAATTTTGCGTAACACACCACCGCACACCTCGGCTGAGCCTGTCATCCCCGGTGGAGAAAGATTTCTGGCACGCGATGCTTCGCGTTGCCCACATTTTCGCGAGCTGCTAGCAAATTTTGTCGCGTGGAATGCGACAAGGTGGCTCAAGTGATCGATCAGCGTTTCGAATACTCGCGTTCTAGTGCCAGCTAAATTATCGCGTCCTGTACGAGCGCTATAATATATATTAAGCCGTAACGCTCGTTTCAATGTTATATGTTAAGATAATAAATATACGTTACTTTTCGGGATAGAAAAAGTTCTGAAGATATTTGTGGAAAATAGTCACCATCTATCTACGCTTGCAAATTTTAGAAATACGAAGAAATATTAGACCTTTTCACGGGACATTATGAAAATAATGTAACATATATCCTTTATACTTGCCAAAGTTAAATTTACTATATGAGCTGAAAGTATATAGAATTAATATCAAATTCAATATATATTTCCGTCTCTAAAATATACACACACACACAACACATAACTTCCAACTGTAAAATATTAATTAATATATATCCGTAAAATATTAATATACATTCCAGAGGACGAGAAAGAGAGAGAGAGAGAGAGAGAGAGAGGAGGGGAGGGAGGGAGGAGAGAGAGAGAGAGAGAGAGAGAGAGAGAGAGAGAGAGAGAGAGAGAGAGAGAGAGAGAGAG